TTTTGAGCAAATTTGAGCAGTTAAATTTGACATTAATATGAAGATTTATATGTTCAAAATTAATATACAAAAAATCACAGAGGTATTACTCGGTACTTTTTTTAAAAGTCTCGTTAAATTTGATAAAAATTTTACATAAAAAATTAGGAAAATTTATTACTATTGTATTAAAATTCTGTGTCAGCTTCAAAGGTATTCAGGTACTAAAGACAACCTATAAAAATCAAATCAAAAACACAAATGGTCTGTGAATGGCACATATTTGAAAAATACACTGATTTTAATGGAGCAAATTTCACGTCTTAATTTTAACAACAAATGGACGTATTCAGTCAAAATTATAGGCAATATTACAAACTATGGTTTGTTATTAACATCTTAAAATGAAAAAATTTTTAGATTTTACACTTTGAATTTCTGATTTTTGTCGATTGGTCGAAACACTGTGCGTCGGTGTTACATTTTATTTTTAATTATTTTGTAACTTTTCAGTGAAATGAAAAATTTGAGAAATATTGATGTGCAAATCACTTATCAAGGAGACTACATACCTGACCCCCGAGGATTTTAATGAAATTTGCAGGGATGAATCTAGAAGTCGAAAAATGACATTCTGTAAAATATTTCATTTCAATGCTCATTTTTTATAAACAATTGAAATTACTTCTGTAAAACTTTGGAAGTTTAAGTTATGTTCAACAATCGACAGTAGGTGTGCCCCTAAAACGTTTGCTTCGTAAGGGAATAGTCTGGATTTCCAGTCTTGAAGGTAGAAGAATATTTTTTACTTTTATTTTAATTGATAAAATCTAATATTTTATTTTATGACATCTGCAATTTGACAGACCAAGTTGCTCGAGCGTCACGTGGTGACGTAGATTATTGGCGGAAAGAGCCGAACAGGCTTTGCACACGGACAAAGCTACCGCTACACTAGTGTGAGAGCACGAGGACGGTATAGTGGGAGACGGCGGTAGGTCACAGTGGGGGTAACTGCTTTCGCCCACGGCCCAGGATTGTGGCATCACTGCTGTCATTCTCTTTCTCTTTTGCACATTATTTAAAAATGCCAGCCGCTACAGATGAGCTGAGTAAGTAATCTCGAAAAAAAATCAAATTATTTTCTGCGAAAACAATTTAATTCAACAATGACATGAATTATATTATTAATTATACCATTTCTTGTTTAATAAGAACATTATCTTTGATAATAACAGTACTTTTTATGCTATTGTGACTTGTAAAAGAAAGTCAATTGTCATGCCGTCTTGTAGAAGGCAACTTCAAATATATCAGTTTTTTTTAATTTTTGTAATTTCGTATTTAAAATTATATCAAGAGAGAAAGTTTTCTATTCTCTTGTATATTTTTATTTTATTTTCAGCATATGCTCGTATTTGTCAAATAAATAAATAATACTAAGTAATACATGTACAATTATTTTCCTGTTGTATACATTTTTGTAGTATCTTGACGTTTGTTATCATTTATGTAACTATTCTTTTTTATTCAAAAAATGTAATCATTGCATATTGTTTTTTGATAATTTAAAATTAATAAGTGCAAAATCTGTTTCTGGACATTGTTTCTTAACATTTTATTAAAATAAATACCATACTTAAACACAGTGAATAATTACTATTCGTGGATGTTTAACAAATAGAAAATCTTATTCAATATTAACAAAAACAAATGTAATTAAATTATTTGATATTTATGTATAAATATATATATATAATTATAAATTTTTTATCATGTGTATGATCTATTGTTTCATGGAAGTTTTACTTGAGCGAGTATTTCTTCGCTTGGGAACTACAGAGAATGATGAGCAACTACAAGCATCAGTTTGTAAATTTTTGCCCCCTGTTTTATTGAAGTTATCTAGTGCACAAGAAGGTGTTAGAAAGAAAGTAATGGAGTTGTTAATTCACCTAAACAAAAGAATAAAAAGTAGGCCTAAGGTTCAACTACCAGTTGAAGCACTTTTATTACAATATCAAGATCCAGCTGCCAGCTCTTTTGTAATTGTATGTTGTTTATGAAAAAAATTAGTTTTTAAAGCATTCTCAACATATTGAGAATTTATTTTTAATGAATTTATTTCATGTATTTACAGAATTTTACTATTATATATATAAAATTAGGATACCATAGAATGGAAATGCAAAAGCAAGCAGAATTAATTCCAAGTGTATTAAACGCCATTGAAGGAAAACCATTGTCTCATCAAGATAGGTTTGTTAATAACTTATATAATTTAAATGATAATAAATAAATATATTAACAAAATATTTCAGCTTGTTGCTTATAATTATGCCTGCATTGGGTCATATTAATGTCCCTATGGATCCAGATAAACGGGCAGCCCTTCTGGGTCTACAAGATAAACCTTATGTGTCAAAACAGTTACTCAATTTTATGCTTGATGTTCTTCTATTACCTTATGAGTAAACATAATTTTTCTAGGTCTGTAGAACGAATGAAAACTCAACAATCAGACCAAGCTGTTAATTTGTTACGGTTTTGTGTGCCATTAGGATTAAGTGATTATGCATTTCAACGAGTAATTGGTGATAATCCACCAACAGCAGAACAGCTTGAACAAACAAAACTGGGAATTGTTAAATTTCTTGCAGCAGGGTTCTTTTCTGACTCAGATATTCTCGTACACTTAATAGTAGCATCTGCAGATACTAGATTCAGTGTTGCTAATTTGGCAGACTTGGAATTGAAAAAAATTGTTGAGTAAGTACAAAGTATACTTTTACTAATTTAAAAAATTTTGCATTGATATATTACATTTTAAATAACACAATTATTTTTTAAACGTTTAGTACATTAGATTGGTCTTCAATGCAATTAGCAGCACCACTTTATACATTATTCTTGGGTAATGCTTTCAGTTCACAAAAAAAAGTTAAACCAGAAATGATGCGATTGCGTGTATGTATACGAATTCGTCTTAAATTATTACAGTATCTTTGCCGCGTTACCAAGGCTGGTCTTATTATACCACCATGCATACAGGTATGTTTCATCATTTTGCATTATATCTTCTATTACATGATAGTTACTTTTAATTAACTTTCAGGTAGTTTTTGATACACTGTACGAAACAGATGGAAACACTACAAATGCAAAGTTAAAGTCATTGGCACTGCAATTTACATTAAACATTGTGCAACAGTGAGTAAGATGTATTATTAATCGATTTTAATTATGTGTGTATTATAAATATATATTTACATATATGTTTTATGTTTTAAGCTGTAATCTTACGTCATTAGATTACGTAGCAGCAATTATTTTAGACGGTATGATGAAATTAATTGTTTCGGGTGAGAACACTCATGCAATGATGGCTTACACTGTTATTGGACAAATGGGTCAAAGACATCCATCAGTAATACAGAAAAACTTTAGATTGTTGCGTCGTTCGTTTGATATACTTGCATCGGTAAGTAAAGAATAATAGATTAAATAATAAGTTCTGGTGTACGTTATATTATTAGAATTTTCTATTTCGAGCCGAATTTTCATGGTTTTTAAGACGGAAGGTGATTTACGAAGAACAGTGCGGGATACGCTGATTTCTATAACATCTGCATTTGTAATTAATAAAGATCATGAAACTCACATATCTCTGATGAATGATTTATTGTCTACCTATATTGAATCACCGGAATTTAACGCTAGGCACGTATACGTTAATTAAATAAATTATTTATGTATTTAAGAATAATATGTATTTTATAGCTTATGTAAGTTATATTTTTTAATAACAGATATGTGGCTATGCATTATGCTGCTACTGTGTTCTATCCTGATCACGTACCTTCTCGTTATCTTTTACTGTTAGCATCAGGTGATGAGAAACATGAAATAAGTACAGAAGCTAAGAAAGCTTTGTATTAGTTATATTTATTCAAAAATGCAAATAAGAATGTCATCTACTAGCAATGAAAAAGCAAATGTAGACAATAAAGTACTTCCTTACAGTATTACTGTATTTACAGAGGTAATTAATTCAATGGAAAAATAATTTATTTTTATTAAAAATTATAGTTTTGTTCAATAGTTGACGAAAGTAACAATTTGTTTCATTTTCTTACAGATAATTAATTACCTCCGGATTTGTTTAGCAAAATGTGCTAATGTTACTGTATTTAATGAATTACTGCAGCATCCTTGTGAAAGTACGCCATTAATTGCGCGTTATTTAGAAAATCTTTATAAAGAAAAACCAGAAACATTGCATAATTATCTTGATATAATTTTAATTTTTAGTCACGTTTCCGCAGGTAAAATTGTATAAGTATAATGTTTTTGATAAATATGAAACCACGCTACAAAATATAATGCACTAATAATTGTATAATGCAGACCAGTCTTCTCTGCAAGCTTTATTGGAAGTTACTGGTTGTGTACCACAGTATGCAACAGAAATTTATGAAAAAGAGTCGTCACGGCTTCGTACTTTACTCACTTCTACTAAGCCAGATGTAAGACAACTGGTTGCTAAAATTTATGGAATAATAACAACTCAGCTTTCCAATAATGACTTTGAAGCTCAAATTTCTGAGATTATAAGTATTATGGATAAGAAGAATTTGGAAGCCCAACATGGTTCATTATTAACTTTAACATGTATGATGGAGAGGAGATTAATTTTTAAAAGGAATAACATAAACAAGGATATGTTTAATTGGGATCTTTACGTTAATGTCGTAAAAATGATATGTATGTACATATTTTCATACATAAACGTAATGGGTTTTTAATTTCATTTTAAAAACATTTATATAGGTAGTTATCTCCGCCATAATACAATTTTATCGATGGATGCTGCAATTCAAAGTATTGGTATTTTGGGAAAAACACACGGTTTACCATTACCTGATGAAGGTGAAGAAGAGCCAAATAAGAAAGCAATTGTAGAAATATTATTTTCAGCATTGAATAATGTAAAATTAAATACTAAGGTTCGGTTTGTAATATTCGTTAAATTTGTGAAATTTATCCAATGTAAAACTAAACTAATTTGAACATTTATAGATTAAAGAAAAGGCTGCACTTTCATTAGGATATTTATGCGTAGGAGAAAATTTTCCACATACTTCATATATAGTAAACATATTAATTGCAACTCTGAAGGAGGTACTTAAGTATATAATCAAGATTCAAACTTGTAATTAAGAATTTTATAAACAGTTCTTAAATTGGTTTGTATATTTGTTATAGACAAAAGATATCGAAATCCATTTGATTATAGGAGAAGCATTGGTTTGTTGTGTTCAAGGTGAAGCATCTCCAGAAAGTCGAGATGCTTGGAGAACACTACCAAGTGAGCATAAAGTATCTTACAGCAACACCAGTACTGAACTATTAATGCATACGTTAGATGAATTACTTCGGGTGTATAAAGATCCCCATCCTAACTTAAGACAGGTATTTATTTGCTAATATTTTCAGAATTACAGTTTCTTCACTTTTTTTTTACTACAAATATTTGTTATAAGGCCGTCTGTGTGTGGCTACTAGCACTTTTAAAACATAATGTCCAAAGGGAATGTATTAAAGAAAAATTTTCGTCGTTACATCATGCATTCATGGATTTTCTTTCAGATGACAGTGGTGAGTTATGTAATATATTTTTAGTTTTAAAAAGAAAATTAACTGTCTATTATTGAAGTGTTTTGTTTTAATCACAGATATAGTTCAAGATATGGCTGCAAAAGGACTTAGTTTGATACACATTAATAGTAACGAAGAAATGAGGGAATCTTTACTTTCTAGTATACTAGATCAATTTATACAGGGACGTAAAACCGTACAACAAGTTACACCTGATACAAAATATTATGTTTTGAATTTAATAATTATAGCTTAATTTTATAAATAATACTGTATTTACAGTGGCACCCTATCAACATATAAAGAAATTTGTTCCTTAGCTACAGAGTTACAAAAACCAGATTTAGTATATCATTTCATGCACTTAGCGCATCATAATGCAGTTTGGACATCTAAAAAAGGCGCTGCATTTGGATTTGCAGCCATTGCTAAAATAGCAAATGAGGAATTAAATAAATATTTACCTAGCATAATTCCACGTTTATACAGGTATCAGTTCGATCCTACTCCCAAAATCCAGAACAGTATGTCTAGTATTTGGCGTGCAATCGTTCCATCTACAAGTAAAGCTGTAAGTAAAATTGTTCGGAAAATATACTGTATTTCCTGTTTACAATGGTTTATTTACAATTATGTTTCGTATGTTAATAGATCGAACAATATCATAAAGAAATATTGAACGATATAACTGATAATTTAACAAATAATAAATGGCGAGTGCGAATTAGTTGTTGCAATGCGCTTGTAGATTTATTAAGAACGAACGCTCGCTTAAACCTTGCGAAATGTGCTCCAGAATTATGGAAAAAATTGTTTCGTGTAATGGATGATATTCATGAGGGTACTCGATTAGCTGCAACACATGCAACTAAAGCATTAAGTAGAGTAAGTTTTGCATCGAATCTATTTGTTAAATACAAAAAAAAATATAGTACTTATATCGTTTAAATTTTGTACCAATTCTATAATATAGGTCTGTGTTCGATACTGTGATGCTTTTTATGGTAAAGAAGGAGAAGAAGTTTTACAGGCAATTCTACCTATTTTATTAAATATCGGGGTTGTTAACGTTGTGAGTAGCGTAAGATCAGTGTCTTTGCAAACAATATCCCAATTGGTTTCGAGAGCAGGTCTTTTGCTTAAGCCGTCTTTAGTTACTTTAATTCCTGCTCTCTTAACTACAATTGGTGAATTGGAAAATCCTAATTTGTCATATTTGAGTAATGTATGTGGAGCAACGTCAGAAACGCGAGATGCTATTGACAATATTAGAGCTAGTGCTGCTAAAGAGCATTATGCTACTAAAACAATGACAAAAGTAGGTTGATCAATACGGAAACACATAACTATAAGAATTATATGTTATTAATAGTTAATATTTATTTTAATACAGTGCGTACAGTATATCGATGCAGAGATTTTAAAGGAATTAATACCAAAAGTGATAGATTTAATAAAATCTAGCATTGGCTTTGGAACAAAAATTACTTGTTCACACTTTATCATACTTTTAAGTACTCACTTTAAACAAGAATTACAACCCTATAGTGGTTAGTGAAAAGTTATGGCATTATAACGCATTTTGTTCGAGAAATAATTTCTGTAAATTATTGCAATTTCATATTTCTACAGGTAAAGTTTTAAATGCGCTAATGAATGGATTATCGGATCGCAATTCTGTTGTTAGGAAAAATAATGCAATCGCTATTGGACATATAGTTGGATCAGCGAAAGAATCAAGTCTTGAAAAATTATTTAAAACACTTTACATGTGGTACATGGAACGTGGTGCGTATTTTGTAACAATTAATTTTAATACATATATGATAATTATGAATAAATGTTATATGCATAAAATTTATAAAAAAGAGAAGAATTTTATTTTACTTAATTTAAAATTTTAGATGATTTAACTAAATTAACAGTTGGACAAACAATACAAGCTATAAATAATTATAATCAGGAGATATTAAGGAACTATTTCAACATTGTCATACCTCTTACCTTTTTTGCAATGCATGCACAAAAAACAGGGGGTTTGTACTTTTCTTTGAACTTAATTTATAAGTATCATGATATTTATTTACGCTATTTTAATAGAGAATGAAAATATGATTGAATTATGGATTGATTTGTGGAACGAGATAACACCAGGAACCGAAGTTGGAATCAAACAAAACATTGAACCAATAACAGATATTTTGCGTTCGTCGTTAGAATCCCCATCGTGGAATGCAAAAGCGCAAGCAGCTAATGCAGTTCATACGTTATCTGAAAAATTAGGCAGTAATATTGACCCGTATGTAAGAAATACTTTGTTAAAGGTATTAACTGATGGTTTACGCGGAAGAACTTGGGATGGAAAGGATCGCTTATTAAATGCTCTCGCCACATTGACATGCAATAGCAAGTATGTGTGTAAAAACATTTAGATTTTTATATATTCAAATAAGAAAATAAAAAGACATTGCGTTTGTTTCTAATTTTAGAGAAGTTCTTAAAGAGGATATTGAAATATCTATGAATGTAGTACAAATATTACAAAGGGAAAGTAAAAAGGAGGCTTTAGAATATCGCCGTCATGCTCTACAAGCATTTGGTATGGTCTTACATGAATTAAACATTGATATGTTTAAAGAAGTATACGACATTGCTCAAGAAATTTGGTCAACGGTATGTACCATCAATAAAATTAATATGATCAATTTTACACTTTTACATATAAGCATTATACGACCTAGTTGCCAAAGAAAGATGAAAGCGAATCTTTAGTCTCTGAGGAAAAAATAAAAAGGGACAATGATGTCCTAAAATTATATGAAACCGTTTATGAAATACTTGGAAAAGCTTGGCCACCTTGTAAAGAAACTCAAGGTAAGTTATTGTTGTATTTGAAAATCATTAAATACCGAAATACAAACTACACTCTTTATTCTTACAATTTAATTTCGTTTGGTTTTAGACAAATACTGTGTAGAATTTATAATCCATTATGGTACAATGTTTCCTCTCCAGCCTACAACTATACAAGTATCAATGTTATCAGCACTTAATTTATTTGTCGATAAACTTTCCTTGCTAAAACTACATAGATCAGAATTGTTAATGAAAGACAAAGAAATGTTAGATTTGGTTTGTGTCACGTTTAATAAAATACTAATACATAGTATAGGTAAGTGTGTTGCTGATTTAAATATAACAAAAAGGATAACCAAAATCTAATATATTTATGTACATTGTTATCTTGTAAAACTAAAAAATTATTATGAACTTTTGTTTTCTGTAGGTATTTCATATACTAGGATACGGAAGGAAGCCTTAAATATAACTCTATCTCTTGGTAGAAAATTACGTTCCACTGAAAACAATGAACAATTTGATAAAATGATTTTAATAATTCAAGAGGCATTACCAGAATTAACAAAAGATAATGAACCAGAAATTCGAATTAGAATTATTGATATCAAAGAAATGCTTAAAATATGAAAATAATGATTAATTTTAGTATTTTCTAATCGATGTTGCGTATCTTCAAATTTGTGACTCCGTGTTTTTTAGTCACTTCAAAATAATGATAATGAAAAAGTATAATGTCTGCTAATATGTGTTAGCTATATGTCTGCTAATATTTAATAATACTTCACGATAAATGTGGCTGAAAACAATAATTATGTAATAATACATAATTTAGTTGATACTTTTTATAATTTTTAATTTTTCATATTATGTTACGAAAAGTAAGAAAAATCTGTTTATTTATAGTATATGAATTTACAAATATTTTGATCCTCAATAATGCTAGAAAAATTGAATTTGTTGAATAATTTTAATAGTATAGGTAAGTACAATAAAATAATACATAATTCGCAATACGTAATAACTATAACTACACATTATATTATTATGTACCTTGAATAATCCTCGATTTGAACATTAACTGAATAAATTGTAAGTATTTATGTTACAAAATACAATAACAAAATTACCTATAACATTCAAATTTTTTTACAATTTCTATTAAAGCATTTTTTAGTATTTGCAATTTTATGTTCATAAATCAATTAAGATCTTTTTCGCAAATAAGTATTTATTCCAATTTTTTATACAAAACATTAGCCGATTCTGTTTCATTTTCTAATAATAATATTAATAAAAAGCACCCTCTATTACATTCTATCCATTTCTCTATAACATTTATTTCTAAATTTTTAACTAATATTTCTCCAAATGTACTTTCATTTTTTTCTTGCAATTCTTTATCATTCTGTATAAGTTTTTTCAACATCATGTGTAATCCAGCGTGTTCAACCGGTATATATTCACAATTTCCTTCTTTAATTTTTGATTCTGAATTTGTGATAAATTTAACGACAGATTTAAAAGCTTTTTTCAATTTTTTTCCAGTGCCTATTTTCAGTATTGCTAATGTTACCATTGCTATGGAACTATTAGACATCCAAATTGTGGTATTCAAAGTTATAGTTTGTATAAGTGAATCATAAATTGAATCAAGAAGTTCTTTTTCTCTAATATTGGCTGGCTTTTTACTTGTTGCATTGTTGTCTCCTTGTTCTAAAAATTTGACTATACTAGGAGGAAAATAATGAGAATTCCTTCTAGCTACTAAGTACAAAATTACATGCTTTCCATTATCATTTACTGCTATATCTGTCAAATCACGTTCTACTTCTAAGAGTATAATTTTCTTCATAAGGACAATATCATCTACTGAATCAAATAATGCTAGTAATATTAAATATCCATGCTCAGATATTGAAACAGTCTTTACATTATCCTTAAGAGCTTTCATAATAAATTTTCTATCCTTGTTTGTACCATGCCATATGCATAGTGCAGCAACCTTTGAACCAAGTTTTGTTTGAGATAGTTCCACTACTGAATCTCTTAGCATTACAATTATTTCTGCTCTATCTTCAACAGAACAATTATTTAAGAATTCAAAAAGAATACAATGCAGAAGTGTAGAATTAAAAATTTTCTTATTTAATAGTTTCATCAGATTTCCTTTTACAGCAGAAAGTGTTGCTGCTTTCATATCTTCTGCAGATTTAAATACATCAGATAAACTCTTAATTTTGTTGTCTTTAG